TGTTTGTATTTTCATTTTTAGGGTGTTAGAGAAATTCTCTTCCAGCAGCTCTTCAATTATCTCTTCTGTGGACTTGTGTAATCCTTCCTGTTCCAGAATGCTGATAATTCTTAAGTTATTCCTCTTCATGTTGTCCAACAAGAATCTTAGACCTATTTTGGATTTTTTTTATCCTTTTTTCTGCTTGATCTTCTATCTTAGTAGCATTGAGAGATTTGTCCTCCAGTTCACTAGTTCTGGCTTCCATCTCTTCAATTCTACTCTTTGCCCTTTCATTGTATTGTCTATTTCTGATATTCTATTATTAGTCATCTGAACCTCGTTTTGTAGGTTTTAAATTGTTTCCAAAGCTGTATTTATCTTATTTGATTATTCCTGTAGTGCTTTCCTGACTTATTCCTCATTTTTCTCAACTCCATTGTCTAGAGTTTTGAAATATTTTATAATCATTTTTCTGAATTCCTTCTCAGGCATTTCCAAGGTCTGACCTCCTTCCAGAATGGAGTTCAGGTCTACCTCCAGGTCATCTGTCGCAAACATTTTATCTTGTTTCTGGACATGTGCTGATATGATCATCTGCTTTTGCTTCTTGCACATGTTTAGTGTTTAGCTGTGGCTTTAATTCTTAATTGAGTGTGTGTTTTGATATTTTTTTATGCTTTCTGATTGCCTTCAGGTAGATGTAATCAGGAGATGAGCTTCCCTTTCACTTTTCTTATTGCTTAACTCATAGTAACTTTTTCAGGTGTTGTCTGCCTCCCTGGTGTATGGCAGTTGGTAATGGTTCTTTCCTGGATTGTGGGACTTTATACGATGTGATTGTATGTTGACTATATGGCAGCAATTGCTGACTCTTCTTGGGTAGTACAGGGAGAGAAAGATCCCCTTATACATAAGAGGGGGAACAAAAACAAAACACAACAGAACAACAACAACAAAAACAACAGCAACAGCAACAGCAAAAAAGCAAGGGGGGAAAAAACATCTAGAGCCAATGAACAGATACCAAAAAAAAAAAGAAAAAAATCAGAACAAAGCAAAACCAAACAGAGAATATCATCACCTTTGCTCTGAGATTCCCATGGTCATTCGTTCCTATCAGGTCTGCTTGCTCCCCACTTGGTCTTGCCCAAGTTGTCGGCTCAGGGCCGCTGAGCCAGCAGATTCTAAACTATGAGATTTCTTACTTCTGCTACAAGTTCCATTAGCTATAAGCCTTCAAATGTTTTAAATATTCCTACCTATGGTTGTCAATATGAGATTTCTTACTTCTGTTACAAGTTCCACTAGCTATAAGCCATCAAATGTTTTAAATATTCCTACCTATGGAAC